GCGTTGTTTCCATTCTTTTTACAGAGCCTTTATTTGGCATATTCCCAGATAGTCTAAATTTGAGGGGTTTTTATTGATACTTTCCATACCAGAAAAAGAGATCAGTATTCATGTACAGTCTACCTAAAGCCTCACAGCACTGGGCCAAATGCCTGTACTTCTCTCATATATCATGTGCTGAGATAATTCCAAAGAAGCGTTATTTAAATATCTACCAGGAGAGACAGCTAAAAAACAATTTTACACTTTTTTGTTATGTTAACTGCCAAACCTTTAACATAAACTACAAACTGAAATCTTAAGTTGTTTCTAAGGAGCTGCCATCTTGTTTGAGGACCTAAATAAAATCTATTGTATATGCATACTTTATTTTCTTGATTTTATTATGATGACCACAGCATTAACTCAGTCAGTACATATTTAATAATAGAGGCTATTACCTGTAGAGCTTAGTTTCTGCTTTTTGTTTACTGCTACTGTAATTTTTTATAGCTTTTCCAGTTCTCTTTCAGGCATTCAGGTGATTTTATTTAATCTTCATCCCTCCCCCCAGTTTTTTTTCTGAGCTCTTGTTAAGGTGCTACTTTTAGACTTAAAGAAATTGCTGACTGGAAAAATATACCTTATGACTGTTCTGAGAACTCAAAATTGGAGGCTTTCCTATGAAATATATTTGATCTCAAACAGAAATACTGTGCTTGAACTCAAAATCAATCCAGTATCAATTCGTACGCAAGGAAGAACTACTGAAAATAATTTGATTTGATTCACAGTGATTACCAAGTATCTTCCTTGAAAGTGATTGTCTGTTAATGGGTATGGTCTCTCAATATTATGCTAAATTTTAGACAAGTAGAACAAGATAATGCAAAAGCAATGTTGAAAATAGGAGCAGGTCTCTTTAAAGAATTGTGAAAGTAGAAGGGCCAGCATATCACAAAAGGCACCTAAGGCAAGAGTCTGTCTTCCCGAAACGCTTAAAAACTCCTTGTAAATGCTAGCATTGATCATAAGGAATGGACTGCTGACCAGAAAAAAAATGCCTGGGGAAAAACTTCACTGTAAATCTTTCATTTTTCCCCTAAAACATTCTTAATAAGGGTCACACATGCATGAGCTGCAAAAATGTCAAGAGACCATAGCTCTTGATATCCTGAGGACCATTTTCTCTTTAGAATTAGGTTTTCCATTCAAATTTGAAACTTTAGGGATCTAGTTGGATTTATTTGTGGTGTTTCTGTTCCTCTGATATTTTGAGAAATTCCATACACAAAAAAATTAACTCTGACATGGAAACAAAAAATGAAACTTCAAAAGTACTTACAAAACTGTACTTTCCAAATTATGATTCAGAATGTTCAAAACAACCTTTCATTTGGCTTTTTGGAAAGTTTCCCAGGGTCTAAGAAGTCTTGGAAACCAAGAGTCCTAGGATCCCTCCCGGAAAATCATCAGAACTGGTTTAGAGTTGATAAGCCCCCTTTCCCTGGCTGCAGGTCACACAGCAGATATTTTAATATCTGTGTAGATGACATGGAAGATAACTGGGAGGTTTTACAATTTGCATCATTTCTATCCTATTTATGCACAAATGGATCTCTGTGGATAGCTTTCATTTTAAAACACTGGCATTTTCCAGCAGAAATATATTCCTTGGAAAAAATCTGTAGTATGTTCAGGATTTCCTTTTTCTAATGAATGCCAGTCCAATCCAGTTAATAGGACTAGAAGTGGAGTCGTGAAGAGATTATTGACATTCTGTTTTGTAAACGCTCACAGAATGTCTAAGTCCTAACTAGTAAATTGCTGACACAGACTCTAAAGCTTTTCCAGGGAAAATCTGAGATGCCAATGCTGACCTCTGTCATTGCAAAGCTGCAGCTCCCATGCAGGACACTTGACGGTGGTTCTGTTTCTAGTGCTCTTTCTCCCCTCAGAGGTGGAGCAGCTTCCTGAGATGCTGCCTCTAGCATGCTCAGAAATGTCAGTTCTTATGTGATGTGGTGATATGGTGTCCAAATAATTTTTTAGATCGGATTATTTATGTGGATTTTGAAACATCTGAAGCATATTAATTCAAAATTTCATGTTACTGTCCTTGGTTTTAGTAATAATCTGTTCCCATATTGTGTTCTATCTCTGGACTCTGGAGCACCTCACAGAGCAAAATACCATCATTTTTATATCACCAAGTGAGAGGGAAACTGAGGCAAGAGTGGGGAACGGACTTACTCATCACCACTCATAAGATTAGCAGAATCCAAGAGTGAGCCTCCAGTCAGGCTCCATCCATCCTCTGCCACAATAACAGGAATTGCCTGAGTGCTCAGATCATCCCTCTTCTGTGAATAATGACTAAGGCTATCGAAAAGAAGATTCTCACATATCTTAGATGTAGAAATTGTTCACAAATATTTACTCATATTTTTAAACAGCATTGTGAATGTGTGGGCACTCTCAATGTGTGCATTTTTCATTAATATCCTAGCACAGGAGCTCATTGGCAGGCATGTTGCTGTAGCAGACATTTAATTTTGAGGACGTTTAATTTTGAGGAATTTCTACGTAAAGTAAATTTGATGTGCAGCAAGTAGTTTGACGTGTGCATTTGTCTAGTCAAGGAACAGCCCTATCTCTTTGCCCTTTGCTCACCAGACTGCCTGGACTCAAAAGAAATTGTTTGATATAAAAGGTGTACATAGGGCAGTATTCACAATTAAATTGTTTCCCAGGAAGTGACTGCAGACATCATTTAGCAAAGATTATTAAATAGTTAATGTTATGGGTATTCATGTTCTTGATACATTTTGAGGAGTCAGATAGGGAAAAACACTATACTGAAGTCTAATGAGGAAATAATTTTCTGTAAATGTGTCTTTTTGTCATGTAAGTAATTTGATGTTGCTGCATGTGTGAAATTTGCTCACTCAGCCTGCGGAGTGAGACCAGTCCACACTAAATCCATTTGTAGGCTCTGTACAGGTTTTCTTCACTGTGTTTGACTTTGCCCCTGTGAGGTGAAGCTGTAGTCTGTGGGTAAGACTTGGGGCACAGTGATCAAGTTCCTTTCTTTTCTGCTATGTAGTGAAGGGTCTCTATGTGGGCAGGGACAGGGTGATAGTGAGGAGGTGAGGGGTGAGCATCACCTTGGTCTTTCCCCAGCTGTGCGACCTGTCATCAGACCTGCACACCAGCTCTCAATGCTTCAGCTGTGTGCAGCCTCTTTTCTGCACCTCCCCAGTCTCACAGCCAAGCTCTGTCTATACTATTACTTTTTCCCATTAGCATCAGTAAGTCCCAATGGAGAATAAATTAGAGAACCACAATGAATTAGACAATTTACCCTTTTAGAAAAAGTGCTATAAACCTGTTGTTTTCCCTGGCTTGCGTAGGATGGCTTTTGTCAAGTCATAGCATATTGTTACTTATCCCAGTGCCTTTAGCTGTTGGTTTCATTATCATAAGCTTATTCAGATGCTTCTAGCTTTCTCTTTTTGTGTATAATAAGTAATTAGTGTAATTTAATATGTCATTTTTGTTGCTTTTTCCAGCACAGAATAATAATAAATATCCAATATAAATATTAAGTTACACTGTAATTTCTCTTATACTTCTGTACATCTCCAGATAAGTCCACAACAGTGATCTGGGGTTTGACAAATGACAGTTCTAAAAATTTATGTACATACTTATTGATAACAATTTTATGGCCAAAATGGTATCATCAGAGGTTCAGCATATACAGATACTTCAGGATATCATAGACTAAAATATGTCTATTTCAGAAGCTTGAGATAAAGCCAATTACGACAGCTTTAGTAGATCAGGCAGTGGAAACAATCTAAGGAAGAGTGCTTGATGTTTAGCTAAGTTAATTCAAATTAAAGCCTTCACAGTAATTTTAAAATCTAATGTAGAATTATCCTGTTGCTATTTGCTCTTTTTCCTGAGTATTTTTGATAAGTGGCATCACCTAGGTTGAATACTTATTTTTAAAAGGAATCTTCGGTGTTTTTATTGTTAAAATCACAAAATCTTTCCAAAATATACATGGTAATAAAGAGAAAATTGTACGGAAGCCTTTATCTGTTTATTTAAGCGTCACAATGACATCACAAACTACTCATGCTTTTCTCCTGTATTTATCATGAGGTCACTAGATGCTTCTCATTTATTTTAGTTCATTGATCTCTGTTGTACCATTTATTTCTCTTATGTATATTTCTTCCAGCACATGGACATATATTAATGTCATGTTTGTTTACATGGTTGTGAAGATTATTGTTTTACTTCTGAAAGAGGTAGCGCACATGTGCTATGAGTAAACTGTGTGATAATCTATGTAAATTATGTGCACAGAAGCTGTACTTTGCCCTTGGGGGAAATGCAAATTAGAACATTTTGTAGTTTGTTTGTTTTTAAATACATACACTTTTCACTTCAAGGCTCAGGACAGACTCCCTGTTTATTTTCCCATTGCTTATCTTTTGTTTTTTTCTTGTAACTATCTAAGCCTTTAATGATTAGTTTGCTACTTTGTCAGGAAAAAAATTCTTGATGAGTGAAGTCCTCAGAACATAATGCTTGGTGTATTTTATAGCTGTGCTCTAGGGGAATTATCTGCTTGTAAAAGGGTGTATAACACACTCACAACTCAAAGCCATTATAGACATCTGACAGTCTTCATTCATTTTCTCCTAGTGCTGTCTTATTTTCTTCTGTTACATTAGTGCTCGTAATAATTTTTCAGTCCTGCATTACTAAAACACAGACTTAACTGATTTTCCTTATATAAAGCAAGAAAAATATATTCATAAAATGTGTTGTTTACTGCACTTGCAGTTCTCTGCTGATATAATTTTTTTGTATTAATAAAATTATTTTTATACTCTTTAAGTACCCTTTCGGAGAAATGTTTTAATGTAAGTTGTCTGATTCTGTTTTAAGTGAAGGAGAAAACCTGGTAGAGGTTGTCTCTTTAAATCAGATCTGCAGTGTTGATGGACCCTCTAGCAGGCACGGTAAGAACCATTCTCACCTCTGCAGCAGGGAGCTTGACCATATAGACTCTCACGTTCAATCAAAACGTTTTCCCTTTTAATATGCACTGTACCAATCCTATTCCCATGGTTACAGCTCGTGCTTCTTTGGTTGCTTCCAGTCTGTTGGAAAAGGAAGGCAGCATACATTTCTTGTACAGGAGTTTAAAACATCATGAAAGGAACCCTGTTGTGATTTGCATTTTAAATGTTTCTCTTTTTTTCTCATTGTACAGAATGCTGTAGCAGTAGCTTCAGTTCATTTGCCACAGTCTGTCTTCTCTCAGTCTTCAGCCTGGCAATCTGTTGATAACTCCACTTGCAAGCTACAGTTTATTGTCTTTCGGAATGGAAAACTCTTTCCTAGCACAGGAAACTCATCAAATCTTGCAGATGATGGGAAACGTAGGACGGTTGCCACGCCAGCTGTTTTCGCTAAAATAGGTGAGGAGTTGTTATGCATTATTTCCTTTAATCTAAAAGCTACGGTATACTTGATTGTGTAGAGAATAAAGGAGTAGAGTATACAGTGTGCTGAGAGGCTGGAAACAGTCTTTCTTTAGTACAAATGTTTGCAGTTATTCCTATGTGCATGATTTTATTAAAATTATCCTGCAAATAAAGAAAGGCACTTGCTGTATGACTAGAATGCAAATTTTGTACTACTGTTTGTTGACAGTGTTGTTACAAATGCTTGTTTCTTAAAGCGCAGTGCTTTAGGAGGGAACCTTGTTTTACTCTTTATAATGAAAATTGCATTGTTAACGTCCTAGACACTGATAAAAATAAGGTTTTTGGAGTGGGTGTAGTGCCCTGTTGCATGTATCGATACTCACCAGTATACTTTCTGATCAATGGACTTAAAACAGGTGTTGTTAAAGGCTTTTGTCTGAATGTGATATATTGTATGTGCTAGTGAGTCATTATTTTGATTAATTATTCACCCAGGCAATTTTACTAATTTTATTTGATACTGAATAGTGCTCTCATTTCTATTAACATTTTTAATCTTTAAATGTGACTTTCAAAGTGCAGAATGGTCTCAGCTATTAATCATACCATGAAACTGAGCTGTTTCTGCAGTTATATGGGCAATAGTGTAACTGAAGAATCTGAAACAAACAAAAAAAAATCTGCTTTGTGAAGGATGATTAGATCATTTGAACACATTATGGACCTGAAACATTCAGATTTATTTATACTATTGCAAACTTTTCTGAATGTGAGCACTACCTTTGATTTTTACCATTAAGAGTATATGTCTATGGCTTTTTTCCCCATAGTTTAGTGTATCAGATCTCTTTACACAGCATTCATCAATAGTGGATTTTCCACTCCGTCTCTCTGATTCAGTTTGTTGCTTTTGCAGATGGGTGCAGTTTTGGAAACCTCACCAGCCCTCTTACTATAGGGTTGAGGCACTTTGCACGGGGTATAGACCCCATTGCAGCCTTCTGGGATTTTGACCTTCTAGATGGACATGGAGGCTGGTGGGGAGAAGGGTGCTACATAATTAGTTCTGCAGGCAATATTACCACCATTCAGAGTACACACTTCAGTAACTTTGCAGTGCTAATGGTAAGTATATGACTTAGCAAATATACCTCTCTCTCTCTCTCTGTTGCCATACATATGTGTTCTTTTTACATGGATCTGTATCATTCTTACCTGTCAGTAACTGACCTTCTCTTTTCTGTAGTGTTTGGTATAAGATAGTCTTAAAGAAAGTAAGTTATTTAACTGCTAGTAAGTGAATAAACCTGATGGTCAGTTTTAATATCCAGGGAAAGGCCTAATCAGAAATTACATTAAATTCAGTCTTACAAATGAAAGTTCCATCAAGGAATGATTAGTATGTAATAGTTATAAATTATAGGACAGGGTTTAAAAATGTATGCTCCTGTGTGCTTTTACATCAGCACATCTCACAGGCTGGTCTGCTTTTGTTCCTGCCCTGCACTGTGTTGATCATACTAATTAGTTGCAGGCATACCGCAATGTTGAATCATTTAATAAATGGAGAGGAATAACATCTTCTGCTCTTTTAAGTAAGGACAGTGTGTCCTTCTTGATCCTGTAAGAGTTTTAGTTTGTGTACCAATGCTAATAGCTTTCTTAAGAAATTGCTGTTCATAAAGAAAAATATTTCTGTGCAGTGCTAACACATCAGCTTGCTTTGGTCTGTTCTCAGTCACACTTACAGTTCCCATTGCAGTTATTTAACTATCCTGCTTAACAGAAAGTTACCTACATGAAAACAAAAATATCCTTCCTGCAATAATAATCTGTTGTTATTCAGGGAATAAAGGAAAGCAAACAAAAATGAGAGGTTTCTAACATATATAGGTGAGAAAATGTTTAGACCATTCAGAATAATTATTATAAACCAGTTGTAAAAAGATTAGCCATATGTGTACTATTAATACCAGATTGATCCTGAATGCTGATGCATGATTGCACTGTAGATGCTGCTTGTGTACGTTGCAGAAATGTTTATAGTTGAGTAAATAATGTATTATGTGTATGTGTAAGGGACAGCAAACATAGGCAACGGGAATTGCGAGGACGTGTGCAGAGAATACCAATCTGCTGCTGTCAGATGGAGCCCAGATGGCAGCCAATCATAGCACAAGGCTGTGGCATCCACAAGTTAAATGCGGATATTATCGTCCACTTTTTAAGAACTGATTTCCCTCAGAGTTGCTTGAACATTTTTTCACCTGTTCCGGAATTGTTCAGAATTCAAGAGCTGTTCCTAAGATTTGATGACATTGAACAAACTTAATTTTCTACAGCTTCTGTGCGTTCCCTTTCTCCCCCAGCCTCTTGTTTCCCTGAATGTGAAACATAATTTTGCTTTGAGAATGTTTTTCTAAATTAATTAAAGAAAGCACCTGTTGACTTTGCAGGTGCCACACCCAAAATGGCTTCCTTCTCCTTCAGCTGCCTGGGTTCAGCCTGTTCTTCTTAAACTTTGGGTAGTTATTAAATGTTAACTAATTGCTTGCAAACAACCAATTTCATTATTTCATTTTGTTTGCGAAAATTGTATACTGACATAAGGACTTCAATTAATTTTTGGTTTGTAAAGACGAATGCACTTTTATTGCTGATAAGATATAGCAGATTGTTTTTTCTACAACCGTAAAGGCAACTGAGGCACCTTTTCCTGCAGCTTTTGCATCTCGTATGTAATTCTGTTTTAGGTTTTGTGTTTGTTTTGTTATAGTACTTCAACTTTGCTTTTTTTCCTGTGTGCGTCTTCCATTTTTATCTGTGCAAGAAAAGAAAATAGAATCTTAGACTCACTCTTGCTTTGTAATTGATATGGTAGCAAACAATGTGGTATGTTCCTTAGCTTATGTTTTACAGTCACTTTTGAGAAAAAAAGATGCCTGACCTTAAGTTATTTTATACATATATATATATATATACACACACACACACACAGACACACAAATATTTCTTCCAACAGCTGTCTGGCTAAACAGCCGTTGGAAAACTTTTGTATCTTCATTATGTGCATTCATTTTCATTCAAGTGTTATTTATTTATCCATGTTTTGTGGCATAAAGTCAATGATTGTTTTATTTGGTAGAGACTACACTTTTCTGGGCAGTTCAATTCTCGTACTAGAAATTAAAAATATTTCATTGTTCTGCTGAGCTATTAATTTATAATGTGAATAATATAAATTGCTTATGTATATTGTCTAAATTCACACCTGAATGCCTACTATATTTTAAAATAGTAACAAACTGATAGCGAATTCAAAGTAGCTAAGATACGATATGTAGCCAACTAAATTAGCTAAAATACCATGATACATGCTGTTAATCTATAATTCTCTAATCTATTAAACCATAAAAATTCATAATTGATTATTATGTTTTGGGGTAATAGCAGAAAACTACAGTAGCATCTGTAAACGGAAGAGCTGCAATAAAGCAACAGTGATGAAGGTTTGCATTACCATCAGAATAACGTATATCCGGCTATGCAACAAGATGAAATAGAAGGCTCAGTTAATCCAACTGTCCATTTTATAGCTAGTACAGCACAAATTCTGATTTGTCATCTTTTTAAATAGTAAGATAATGTTCCCTGAACTGCTCTTATAAAAGTTGTTTTTGCCTATGTACTGTAAAAGGGTTAAAATAAAGGTTTCATAGAGTCCTTTTTTAAAAAGGCAATAATCAAGGATTTATCAGCTACTATTGAGAATTAATAAGTATGAGCATACTTCAAGTGAGAGGATTCATGTAGAGCCATTTCGTTTCTCTCTGACAGTTGTTCCAGTGATGTCAGTGAGAGAGACAGAGTACAGTTTGGAGGTTGAGTTAGAAAGGAGGTACAAGCTCCTTCCCTCACACTGCGCTCATACTTTCACTCTCTTCTGGGTTGGGCCAGTGAATGGAAGTAAAATAGTAATGTCAGACATAACACAGCATTATCTTTTTCTGATCAGCTTTGAATGCTATGTCCTAGGGGTGAGAGTAAAATACTGTGAAATAAACTCCCGAGTTATATTCCTGCTTTTCCCTTCATATACTGTGTGTTTAGACTAGTCTCCTGTTTTGTCTTTTCTTCTGTTACCTGTAGGAGGTAGAGAGTTATTCACATTCTAGCTTCTTTTGGAGGTGGCCAAAACCCTCTAGGGTCTTGAACCATGAACCTCTGCAATATGATTTTCTATTATAGAGTAAAATTATGAACTTATATATGAGCCTTTGGTATATCTTATTATAAGTATTTGTTCTATAAATACTATGTATTTATGCTTTTTTGTGAACTGAGCTGTATATCAATATTTTAATTTTTCAAGACTGTTTGTGTATGTTATGACCAATCTAGTGCCCTGAAGCCATAGTATATTGGAGTAAAAACACTTCTGGAGTAAACAAAAATAATCAACAGCAACATTGAATTTCAAAATTTGCTGAATGTGTTTTGACATACGTTGTCCTTTGTTCTTCCTTTCATTTTTCTTAGAACAGAATGGCAATTCAGTAGTGATGGATATTACTGTAATTGTAAACAGCATTTCCTTTTCCCCCTCAGACTGCTTTGTCAATAGTAATTTCCTCAAATCTGCCAAATAAACACTAGTAAAATTCTTGAATCTAAGTATGCTACTTCTCAATTAACATAAAATGGAGTAATAAATATTTTTAGCATTTTAAATTGTAATCCTGAAGATAGGTTAAATAAACATAAAATCATAAACAACTCCTTTCCTATTTTGTCACAATCTGTCTCATTATTCTGAACAACATAGGTGCATTTTTTGTTGGGGTATTTTTGGGGTTTTTTTTGCAAGTGTAAGGAGTCAGTGTTTGCAAAAGTAGCATACATTCAGTGGATGGCTACTTGAGATAATTAGGGCTGAGGAGACTGAGCTCACAAAAACAGAGCAAATTTGAAACTATTCTGGAAGCAAACCTTGGAAAACTGTGGGAATGAGAAATTGAGGAGAGGCAAGATACTAGGAACAGATAATGCTAAGAGTTAACAGGATTTTTCTCCTGTTGTTTTACAAGCATTCCCCAAATCTTTTAAGTCTTTACAAATTGGTAAGATCACAGTACCACAATAGCTATGTTTTCAATATTTTCAGTGTGAATAGAAACAAATGCAGAATTTCTTAGGTCTGTGCATGAAGTTCAATTCTGAAAAGTCTTCTAAACTTCCATGTTTCAGGTCTTCTCCAAATTAAACAACCTGTCTAATCCTTTTGAGAAATTAATTAATGAGTCAGGGAAGTATTACAGAGATGTCATTTAGAAGGTTGACATAATTACAGTATTTGACACTTTGCCTGTAGAGAACACAGGGTTTTCTCATAACAGGCTGTGGAAACATGGCTCAGTACTTTGAAAAATCAGGCTGCTTATAAAGAGAGCTTTAAGAATGAACTTTTAAATTTTTTTGTGTGTTTGAACAACTACTTTTACACCTACAGAATAGACCTTAGCTGAGTTTAATTGCCAAAAACTATGAAAGTGAACCAGAAAGTTTACCTGCTGTCTGCAAAATTAACATTTAGTGTAGTGGGAACTGCAAAATTCCCTGGAGTTTAGTTCCTCTGCATATGCATAGATGCTTCTCAGTGTGAAGAGCTAGACTTCTAAGCTCTGCTGTCATTCAGAGGCCTGGCAAAGAGGCACATACTCTTCACCTAAGTCCTCAGCTGGCATGTGCTGCTCACCCACAGAGAATGCTTAGCCCATATGGACAGTATTGAGTCTAGCTTCCCGGAAAAGGTTACTTTTTCCAGAGTATTCCTGAATGTGCCAATCTTTTGCATAAAGACTTCGAGTTAGAGTACTTGTAAAAGCAAGATCTGTCTTTTATGTCTTTCTCCTTGGATTACATCTAGCTTTTATTAAATAACACTTAATAACGTGTTATTTGCTCTGTAAAATGCATAAACTGACTTGCTACTGGGGACAAAAATCCAGGCTTGTCTTCAAAATGCACTGACTTTACAACAAATCAAGTTCGCTCTTTCTTTTTGCTCTTGCATTCTGTTGGCTTAATGGATCTTGTTGTTCTTGGTGGTGCAGCTTCAACCAGGGAAGGGATCCAGACTATAGAGGAGCTTAGTAAAATGCGTCAGCTCTGGGGAGATGGGAAATGTAAGTTAAAGACATAGAATCTAAATCTCTAGCCATCTTATTGACTTGGTGGCTTCTACTGAACTCCTTCCAATTTGTCAATGTCTTTCTTGTACTGAAGTGCCCCAAACTAATCAAGATTTGGTCTCACAACAGGTGAATAGGAAGGAATAATCACTTCCCTCAGCTTGCTGCCTGCACTCTTGCTAATATGGCTCAATATGCAGTTTATCTTATGTGTCATAAGGGCTCACCACTGGCTTGCTTTCAGTTTATTGTCCACCAGGACCTGCTGATCCTTTTCTGCAAAGCTTCTTTCCAGTGAGTTTTCCCCCAGCTTGTACTGCTGTCAAGGCTACTCTGCCTCAGAGACAGGGAACTTTTTATGTCTTCTCATTGAACTTCATGAGGTTCCTGTAAGCCCATTCCTCCAGCCTGTAGAGATCTTGCCAAATGACAGTCCTGCCCTCCAGCACATCGACTGCTCCACTCAATGTGCATTGCAATGTTTCCAGTTCTCCATAGAGACCCAACTCTACATATAATTTCCATATTCTGGTGCTCTTAAACATCCTAGTATTTGGCACTTAATTTTTAAGTTTTGTTTTGTTTAAGTAGGAGGAATCTAAATACAAATAGGAATCCAAATCTTACCATAACTGATCGTTCAAATGTGCTTGTGTTTCTGTGGCGCTTGGATACCAGTTCCCTGGGGAACACAGTTTCAGGTGTCCTGCTGCAAACGCAGAAATCAGTTAGACTGTACTTCCTAAAGTCATACTATTACAAGCAATATATTAAAAATAAATTATTAATTTGCCAATATAAGTAGATGGATTACAAAAATTTACAACACAAACTAGATTGTTTTTAGCAGCTGCAATTTTGTGAAAGTACCAGATATTTAGTATTAGTTCACTGTATCTTCCCCTCAGCTTTCTCAGCATCTGCTATTTAGATGTCTCAGGGCTGCCTTTGGTATGTATTTGTCTATACCTCTTTATACTTTCGTATCAAGTTTTAACTGATCAGTATAGATGTGTCTGTTTCAGTTGATTTTTGGAATGAAGTTACGAGTAAAAGTCAAACAGTCCCATTTGCACTCTGATGTTTTTATAATCCTGATTGTTGGATAAAATAGTGACAGAAAAGGCTTTTTATAAGCTGATTTTCATCACTAATTTCTATTGTGCCTTATGTACTATTGTGGCATTTACAGCTGAAAGCTGTTTTCCCACCTTCTTATAGGGTAAATGAATGACAGTTTCTCATGAGACATTTTACCGGCCTTGTAGTTATAGACAGCAGTTTGTAACGGTCAAAGTCTTGTGTGTATTCATTTTCCTGTAGATATTCCTGCCATTTTTCAATATTACTGTTATCTGAATCCCTTCTAGAAAAAAAATCAGACCTACCTTTTTAAAGTGTAACATCCAATTACGCTGCCTTGTGTACAGCATGAAAAAAATAACTTTATTTTCTGCATGCTGTCTTCCTGAGAGGATTACTCAGGGGAGGTTGACAGATCAATAAGGTTTAATTATCATCAAAAAGCAGAGAAGATAAAATTTTTATATATCTATAATGAAATCAATTTTCAATATACAAAACTCTTAAAAAGGATATTCTGCATTGGCAATATTGCATTATGATAGTCCGAATTTTTGCCAGTTATTTACTGTACAAGATTACAAAACAGATAATAATAAGATTTTAATATTTTAAAATGGAGTTAGCTTTAAGATGCTGATTGTTCTTGATTCTTCTGCAGGCAAAATGGATGTATTCCTATAGGACATATGGCATTTGCTTTTATACTCATGTTCAAACATAGTGATTGGTTGATCCCTGCATTTACACTATTAAAAGCTAGTTCTTAGTACACTGAATGATGCCACCTCAAGTAAAATTGCTTTCATTTGTTGCTACATAAATGCGTAGTTTCACTGTGTGGCCTTTTTCACAACTTTGTTAACTTTTCAGAGTAGTTTTTTCAGAAGTATTCGAGTGCCTCCATTTAGCCTGTATGCAGGGGCTAAACAATAGCCAGCTGTTCTAACACTCAGTAACCCCTTCCCACCTGAGAAGGCGAATCAGGAAAAGGAAAGACGACCCATGGGTTGAAATGGAAACAGATTTAATAAAACAATAAAAACCTAATATTAACACTAATATAAAGTACACAAAGTTATACTCAGCCCAGTGGTTGTGAGCTGCACAATCCCAACAGTACATGCTAGGTGTTGAACACTGTGAGCACCACAGCTCCAGCAAAAGTATGACGGTCACAGCAAGCAGGACAGTAGGCCTTGGGAGCAGAATGACAGATGAGACCCTCTGGGGGTGGTGACCATGGAAGAAGGTCGTCCCTAGCAAACTTTCCAATTTATAGTGAGCATGACATTTATGGCATGGAATACTTCTGTTGGCCAGCTTGGGTCAGCTGCCCTGACTTTCGCTCCTTTTAGCCTTAGCACCTGCCTAACTCTCATCTGCTGAAGACCTTGATCACTATGGAAACTCACATACCATGGCTGGCAACGAAGTAAAACAAAGTGTCTTATCAACTTTCTTCTCAACAAATTGAGTGCTGCAGTCTTCTCAAAAATGCAGCTTTTCTGAACAGAAAATTGATTCTTTGATTCTAACCCAGTGAAACCAGCACACCAAGATATTTATTTCTTTAAATAGCTGTGCTGTTACTACTATATTAGTTACAGTAACAGTTTTCTTAATTCACAGAGCTGAAGCAAGTGTATACATAAAATTCTGACAAATTATTGGTATACCAAAATATGTTTATATCAGTAAGAGCTACAAGTAAATATTTTATCATTTTCATCAGAGTATTTCTATTTAAATTGTCTAGTATTTTCATATTACTAGAGTAGTAATGTGCCAAAATTGTACTGAACATTTCTGGTAAATGATAGTCTACCTCAAGAAATTCACATAAAAGAATTAATGGGGAGATGATGCAGAAAAAAAAAAAAACCCAACCAAAAAACATGGGAGAAAAGATGGTAAAAAGTGTGTTTGAGTAGAGATTCAGCGGCAGTTCTGAGCCAACAGACTTTTAAAGAGTTATTTGAAATTTGTAAATTCAGTGTATCCTGAATGTATATTCAATCACACACACACACACAAAACCCGACAAAAATAAAGAGAAGGCCTCAAGAACATTGATCTGTCACATTAAAAAGCTACCACATCAAAAGACAGAGTTGTTTTCCGTTTCTATTCCACTTCTTGTTGAGAGAAGAGTAGCAAGAAATGTTAGGAGACAGCGTAAGAGTACCTCTGTGACAAGTGACTCCACCTCTGACTTTGAGTCTTGGTGAACTCAGCAGGGCTGAGAGAGGACTTATGTGTGGGACAAGTGGTGACTGAGAAGATTTAACTGAGATACACATGCAAGCTAAGTACTTGAAGATAAATGGGATGTGATGACATATATTTGCCATCTTGTTCATACATTATTTGTTCATTTTGATGGTCTTGTATATAAGTTGTAAGCCGCTCTGTTTTAGAACTGACATTAATATGCATCTGAGAAACTGGTACAATCAATCTTAGGCACTTTAAAGCTAGTGTGAACTAAAATAATGACTAGTAGGGCATCTGTTGCTTGTAAGGACCTTTCTGGGAGATAAACGGAACAGTACGTTTCCCCTGAATTAATAACTGCATATATTCTTTTTCATGAAGAATTGTGTCAGTACACACTAGTGGGACCAAAAGGAATGCATGGACCTTTACTCTGCTTTTAATATAGCTGTCAAGCTGCTTTTGAATTGATGTAGGTACTAGAGTATTTGCAACTAAGTATGAAGGTCACTGGGTCAGAGAAGGTGTATCAACTGGGAATTATATTTTAATATAGGAATGAGTCAGTCGATATTTTGTGTGTATTCTTATGGCTTTTGTTTCTTTGAGTGGTTCTTCTGTAGCCGTGTATGTGCCATTTAGAGACCTTTATGGTAATTTGATATTTTTTACTTAATATCCTAGTAAAATACACACATAAAGTTCATGTTTTCAGAAGGAACAGATATTGCTAATGCCTGGAAGATGTAATATTCTGTGTATTTTTTCAGACCTTCTTTTTTAATTAGGATATGTCTACTTGTACTAAAAAGTTAATTTGTCTTGCATAGTGTATGCAGATGAGGAAAGAGCAGTCTGATGTTACTGTAAATTCATGAACTATTTCTACATGAAAAGTTCATCATCTTATTTTCCTGCTCTTGAAAGGGAACAGTTAGAAATGACAGGACCTATTGAAATGAAGTCTCAGTGTTTCACACATGCCTGAAAATGTTAAATAATTTTGCTTTCTCCATAGGATTTTAAGACAGTGCTGTCTTTCCCCCAGTACCCAGGGGAGTTTCTGCACCCTGTGGTATATGCATGTACTGCAGTTATGTTGTTGTGCCTGTTTGCTTCCATTATCACCTACATTGTCCATCACAGGTAAGAATTCAATTTTAAACCCTTGTGTTAAATGGTCAGCATTATGCTGAGGTACTTCAATTTATAAATTAAAATTATCCAAATTACTGTTGGATAGTAATATCAGCAATGTGTTTTACACCAGAGAAATAAAAAAAATGTCAACCTTTCTCAAGCCGTTCTCAAGCTGTATCTTTCCTGAGACATACGTCTAAATGGTCTACACACAGTTCCTAAGATTTTTAACTTGATAATTCAGTCTAAAACCACAAGCACTATCAAATTGCTGTCTGGCAAATTCCAGTCAGAGAGCAGCATGTTGGACAGCTACACTGGAAGTATTGGCTTCTAAGACCAAGTTTGGTTGAAAGACTTGGTAACTATCATTGGATAAAAGAAACTTTCTTTGACTTTGAAATCTTCTTGGGTTTAGAAAACTTGTGTTTTCCTTTATATGAAAGATTTATATAAATGCCATTTTAACTACATACTTCTGTTAAAGACCATTAGCAATTTAAAAGAGTAGGAATGTATTGTACTGTAGAAGCTGCTAAATATTAATTAAGTGAACTTAATGCAATGACTTCGGATCTTCAGCTTCCATTTAATCCTTTAGAGATGTCTTGTTAAAGTTCTGCCTATCTGAAACTATGCAATAAGCCACTTTAAATGCTTGTTTTGATGGAGGAAACTTGAAGTCAGTACACCCTTGTCAGTAGACTCTTTAAAATTTTTACCATTGGTTTTACCTTTTTACCATTGACTTCAATGCTTTATAAATCAGCCTCTATCCTGTAACTAGATTGCTAAGTAGGTATTCAAGAATCAGAGAATTTAATTCGATCATATTAAGCATTTTTTCCAAAGTGTAATTTTCATAACAGATATGTTGATTTTAAATTTTAAAATGTGATTTTTCAACAGCACAATCCGAATAAGTAGAAAAGGATGGCACATGCTTCTCAACTTCTGTTTCCATACTGCTCTTACATTTGCTGTTTTTGCTGGTGGAATCAATCGCATTAAATATCCAATTATATGTCAAGCTGTAAGTATTTGCCTTAGTAATTCTTACTAATAGAATGAAAACCTGAAACTGTATTTTTAAACATAATATTGATAGTTCTCTTTCTTTTCATATATTGTTCCTGGATCTTAAGTTCTTAAAAATAAGTCATCATTATAAACATGTCTTCTCAAGGCCAGCACTGGGAGTGTTCAATGTTTGATTGTCACCTGAGTTTCTGTGAGGGGCTGACCAATGCATTAACATCTCTGCAGCTCAGATTTCCTTATTTTTTAAAAATTCTCTGAAAATCATAATATTTCTCTGTTTTACAGGATAGTTGAAAACTATGATTCCCAAATATTTCTAATGTCCTTTCTGATCTTTGGATCAAATGTGTGGAACTAAAGTTACCGCTGCTCTTTTGAAATATATATACCATTTGCCTGAGAATGACCCTGGCTTCACTGGGTGATCCCTAAAATATATGCTTGGGCAGCTTAATGTAAACTTATAGTAAGATTATGTCTTTTAATTATAACTCAAGCTAAGGAGACAAAGCAGACCAGTACACTTGCAATTTATGAACCCCTGTTTGCACTGCTGGACTGTTTCACATCTCCTGCTTCATCCTTTCCGGGGATATAGTGCCATGAGATGCACAGAGAGTGCATGGCTTTAGCTGCTCTGAGTATAGAGGCTGAGTCTGTACAGTGCGTAGTTATTTCAGTCATCTTCTGTAATGCCCGATGAGGGTTTGTTGCAATTTGTTTGTCTTAAATATTTCTTTGTCTCAGATTTTGTAGAAGTGGTCCGGGTCATATGAATGTTGTTGGTATTTACCTGTAATAAAGCATTTTATTAAGCTAGCGTTCTCCCAGATATTTTGCCTGTCACTAGTCTGGTTCTTTTGATTGGCTTGAATGGGTGTAAACAGCAAGTCACCAGCTAACAGCAGAGTCACTGCAAAACTTGCATAACTAATGTAAGGGTTATAACTCTAATTTTCAGTGAGATGTTTTGGAAGCCTTTTGTGTACACTTGTGCATGACCATCAATAAACAACACATGTAGATCTGTAAGCACCCATAACATTCTATGTGCGAAGTCTACCTATGTGTATTACATGGTATTCATTTAAATGACACAGGTGTCCACTAGATTATTCTGAGACAAATATCTCACAATATCTAGTGCATTGTGTTATAATTAACATGTGAGTTCTAGCAAATTGAAATATCACTTACCATTGTCTTTTTCAGCAGTTTGCAAGTGAGGGTAGCGGATTAGTTTGTAGGGCAGCCATGGCCATGTAATTACATGATCACAAATGACCATCTGTTGTTATAATCATTGCCTGGTTATTTACTTTGCAGATTGCATGGTTACAATGCAGTATTAGCAATGATAATGAAAAATTGATTGAGATAAATGAGTTATTAATAATCTGTTATGAGTAGTATATAAACTACAGGGATATCTTCATAAAATGCATTATCAGTGAGAGCTTTTTCTTGCCGTGGTATATAGAGCCAGATCCTGAGCTGCTGAAAAACATGCACACTTAGAGAAACTGAATGGATCCATTCACATATGCCTTCTAAAGAGTTTTGTAAAGTTATTTATTTACTTGACACCATGCTACATAAACAGGCAATATCATCACAGTTAAAATATAGGAAAGATACAGGACACACAAGACACACACCATCCTCTGGCTCCTGGTAGAAATTGTCTGATGTAATTAGGTAGGGCTAATGGATGCAACAGTTCAAGCAATCTAAGACAAGACTCCTATAGCTGGTAACACAGGCTGAACAAATGTTCACTCACAGAACATTGTACCCCACTACAGACCCTTTTTGCCTGTTGACAGCAACGTTTTTCAAAATTCTGTGATTCCCAGGCTGTCTCTTCCTGTGATAACTCTGAGAGGATTACTCTGTGAATTAACCTTCAGAGTGCCAAAGCTAGGAGATAGGGAGGTCAGACCTACTAATGGCTTCCTGCGAAGCTCATGTGTTTGAACATTTCCCATAGCTTGCATAAGCAGTGGTGGGGTGAAGAGCACTCCTTTTCTCCTGCAAATGGAATATAGCAATTCTTTAAATCACTCAGCCTAATGAAAGGAGTTTTGGACACAAGCTCTTTTGGACTTGTGCCTTCCTTCAGGTCTAAGTTTTGTCTCTTTCTGCTTTTTGTTTTGTTTTGTTTTGTTCTCCCCCCCCCTCCCCTCCCCCCCACTTCTGGGAAAAACTGATATTAGACTTTAAAAATATATTTGTGAAAATATTGCTGCTTGAAGCAGCACTAAAATATTAGCTATGCTCCATGTGTAACAGCATCAGTGTTGCTGTAGCACAGGTATCTTTCCATCTGCTACAATTCAAAACACTACTTCACCCTGCAGCAATGTAATTTGCACTTTTTGTTTCCTGAGTGCGGGGGAAGATTTCAAGTACAAGAATTTTCTGTCCTAATCACTGAAATGTGATATCGAAGCTAGTGAACCTCCACCTTTCTTATTGTACTTATCCTTAAAACTTTCACACAAATTTCACTGCAACATCCTTACCCAAGTGAAATAATAGATTGAGTTAATTTTTATGCTTCATAATTAACAAAAAGGATGGTTCTAAAATAACTTCAGTTAGATCACCTTCTCCCTCTAAATGAGGTGTCCCAGGCTAATTTTAAGCACCAGGAATTTATGCTATGGAAATGGACCCATTTTCTGTGGTAGATAGCTGGAAGAACCTTCATATCCCTTTGGAGGCAAAGTAATTACACAAAAAAAATGTGTTTTCAGAGATGGTAAGATATTAATTTTTATGTAGAATCTAAAAATCTAAAACTCCCTTTTGAACCTACATGCCTATTTCAGAGAGGATTTTGTATAGACAGTCTCACTTGTGTATGTGCTATGCAGTCTTTATGATTTATAAAGAAAACTGATGTTAGAGTGCTGATCTGGAAGAGTTGATTGCTTCTTCACAGATTTCCTCTGCAGATGAGTTTATATCTACAGATTGTTTAGATTAACTACAAATCTGATTCTGGATGTAACTGAATGCTGGCTGTTGATGTAGAATCCAGTGTCTTGACTTTATGGTGAAATCTTTCATGCAAAGCGAAGGTTGTGTTAGGAACAGCAGAATGGGATTAATCAGAGCCAGTACACTAGCCAGAAAGGTGCTTGAGCCAGCTAGCAGGTGATGTACTCAGCCCCTTCCATCTCCCAGAGTTAAGGTCTCAGATTACTTTCCTTCAAAGGGCAGAAGGAGGCTTATTCCTGCCACATAAGAAATGAGGTGGAAGGAGATGCAACTGCAGCTGGATCACTCCCCATATGTGGGATTTCAATCTCATGGCCTCTGCTTTCCAGGGGAGCCTGATAGCCATGAGGCTATGGATGCTTGGGGATGAAATTGTCTGTTCAGCCTGTTGGAACATGAAGAATAGGCTTAGGGGCACAAGATTCGGAAGACAGAAAAGTTAGGGCGTGAGACAGAATAATGATTTTTTATATTAATGGCATGATCACTTCAGTCACATCTCCAGGAACCTGATGGTTTATCAAATAAAAGCTTCTGTGTAAAATTTGTCATGACTCAGATCTTCCTCCTCCCTGATGAGTGTCATATGTGAAACTGCTTGTAAATTCCTTTCTGTAGTATATCTTCAGTAATTCCTATCTGCAGTAAACCTCCAGCAGGAAAGGTGAAGCCTGTTCCATAGTAGGCAATAGCCTGGAAGTTAGAATACTACCTTTGGAAGTTTGAAATTTGGACTTGTATCCTGTTAAACTAGAGAGGTCCTAGAGCTATGCACCACATCTTGCGAAGGATCTGTAGATACAAAAATATTATAGAAAGAGGCGGAAAAGAGTAGTTGTTTCTACTCTAGCTATATTTTTTTAATGAAAGAATGGACACAATATTAATGTACTGTGATCAAGTTTGCCAGTCAGGGTGTCTCAAGCTAAGAATGCTATTGAAGAGCTCTTGAATGATCTTTGGTGAGAAAAGTGCTGCATTGCTCAGCTCTGCTGAGATGGGAACAGAGCAAGTCATATGCACAAGCAAGACTTTAGGTGGCTGTAAACTTCACTAGCAGCAACCTATGACAGCCAAAGACTTTGAACACTGTGGGGCTAGATGTGCATGCTGTGCTGGAGATTGTCCTTCCTGATCTCAGATACCTGATTTGTGGGTCTCAAATTCTTGCTCTAATTTTTTTACCTGTAAAGGTTGTTCTAAGGTGAAATGTTTTAAGATAATGAAATATTCACATCCAATGGTGTTACAGACTGCAGAGAAATTCCTGAATCCCTTCATGTCACTGAAAAGAATCCATTTCAGTGCTGGATTAATAGTTTAAGCAGAATGTCAGTGCATATCCATATCCTTCTCCAAATCAAATGGGCTGAAGAAGGACAATCTTATCTGAAATATGACTACAATTAAAAAAAAAACCAACTAGGGGAAAACAAATTTTTGTGCAAGTTAAAGCTGATCAAGAGAGCTTTTTGTGCCAAAATACTTTGCATGAATGTGTATTCTGGTCATTACCATGGTAACTGCACGGTGTGGAATTTAAAGTACCTCTAAGGTACTGAAAATTATTGAAGGAGTGCATACAGACAGCATCTTCTTACTGTAGAAAAGTGTAGTCTTCTGTCCAGTAGGCTGATGCTTATTCCCAAAGATAAGAGTTCTAAGAACACAAGACATGGAAAAAATGAGTCCAAGGAAACAAGAACATTTTCACCATATAACTGCATTTATTAAATAGCTTTAAGTGCAATGTGTCTTCAGTGCATATGTCCTGACAATTCTTTCTGTATCATTTGGCTTGTCAGTGGAAAACCGTCTTATGAATAAGGGTCATCACTTTAATATATTAAATCATAATCCTTTTTTCTGTGTGGAAAACTTCACCCTTCCCACACAATTTTATGTGAAATACAAAAGTTCTACTTATAGTGAAAATAGTTTTGTGAACACTTGTGTATTTAATTTGTACCTATTTATTGTCCTCTTGAGCCTTACAGAGGCACAAATCCTGTAACAAGATATATATAGATAAATTTGTACCCTGGACCTTCAGTATATAAACCTAAGGTTTCCATTTGCTAAGAGTTAAGTGAGAGTTTACTGAACAAAACTCTCTCTCTCCTCTTCCCCTTTCTGCTGAGCCTTGGTCTTCCCCTTCCATGTCATGAGCTGGTATCTTGTGTATTTCTAGCACAGGGCTCAGATGTCTTCCTAGCTTAAGAGAGCTAGAAAGAGGTGATCTCACTGAAGAGGACAAAAGAGCAAGCATCCACAGCCCCTAAGTGTGAAAGTGAGGAAAATGCATCTCCGTGGCATAACTGATGTCAGTGTGGAGATATGGGAAAGAAAGAGGCAGAGAGCAAAGCCCACGACTTTGAAACACTGATTTTTCAAGATGAGGTGTGACAAGCATTTCTTTACAAATTATTGTTAGTAGATGAATAAGAGAAAAAATCCCAGTCCAGAAAGCATATTTTGTGATGGGAAGTGAGAAACAAAATCATCACCACACAGAGAAAAGGGTACCTTTTCCTTTGGAATTTAGTGTAACAGCTCAGTGCACCCTTCCAAATTCCATATTTTTGTTATGTCGTACTTGTTTTATCTCCAGATTGTCACCATTGTCCTTCAAATCTTTCAAGTCATGAGGAGGTCCTGTGTCATCAGGATATATCTTCTTTTCTTTTAAGCAAGGAGTGCAAATGGAATTTTTTTTTTGAGAGAGAGAAAGAGGTGTATTGTTAGAGTTAGTACAGAAGATGATAATGTTTCTGTCTCTTGACCATGTTTATTTGATTTGTCCACGTATCAGAAGGAACTAAGTTCTTGAAATATGAGTACACTGTGAAGAAAAGTAATGTGACTAAGGGGTCGCATAGCAATGATGTTTTCAGTTCAGTTCAGTTACCACCTTGAAAGTTCAATAAAAGTGTTTTATTGTACTATTTTTAGGAACTTCATTCACTTAAGTGGCTGATCATTTTGGTATATATATGGCCGTATATGCTGTCAAAATTTCACGTGTGGATGCCTTCTCACATGGAATTAATCCCTGCTGTTGATATTCTTATGGACGCTTGGACATACTTGTGTAGAATAATTACAGAATATATAGTAGCAGTGCTATGCTGAGATGAGAAAGAGATTATGGACCTATTCTCTAGAATTTTTCCAATTCTTTCTCATGGTTCCTGTCTCATTTTTCTCCCTCTCTTCTCCCTCCTGCCTTACTCCTTCACTGCCCTCAGCTCATAGTCATATTCACTGCATCCCTACAGAAATGCTGCAAGCTGCATATGAACTAAGTCCAGATAGCACTAGCCACTGAAGTGGCAATGTCTGTCAGCTGATGGTACAAAGTTGTCTCATTCTCTTATTTCTGCTTATTTTACCTCAAGCGACAACAACTATGAAGACTTTATAGTCCCTTGTCTAATGTGTAAGACAAGTCCCAGAGAAAATTACAAAGGGTTTTCTGTTGGTGATATTTGCTGCTATCTTCAAGTTTTGTGCTATATTACTAAATATAAACAAAATTCATGGATTTTTTTTAATTTACCCATCAATTATTTTGTTTTAAGTTAAGCAAAAATGAACACTGGTTCAAATAAATCATTATAATAGATTTGTGTTAGCTTTATTCAGCAAATCTCTGTATTCCTTAAACATTTATGTGCTTTCCAATTATAGCGATATTTTACTTGTCACTGCAAAATGTCAGGTTATTGCTTCAAAGGTAACCTCATTTTATATAATCAGAGGGAGACTTAGCTGATGTAACAAAGCACTGGAGATTGGATAAAATTCCAATTACTGCTTACACAATAATGAATTACAATTACTAACATAATAAAGATGTTAGTATTTTAGAGGTGTTTGTACTTTATTTTACTTTCAATGATAAACATACCAGTTTCTTGAAGATAAAATTGTAATAACACTATTGAGAGTTTGTATTTCCTTTTAAGGGAGGATGCCAAGATCTGTCATTTAATTTCAAAAATTGTATGGCCGAGTGTGTAAGTTCCTTAAAATACATCTGCAAATAATCTAGTTTCAGGCAAATAGCACCAATCCCATTATAAGGAGTCAATCTTGGCTATATGCAGCTGAGAGGAAACTACAGCAGGATATTCCTGAAAAATGAAAGGAAATAATAGCAAGCAAAAATGCTGACCCCTTATTAATTTTTACATTGCATTGTCATGATAATCTAACAAAGCTTGCAACACAAACTAAGCTTCACATCGCTTTAAATCCAGGTGTAAAAAGTTTTCATTAATCAGGTTCTTAGAAAACAAATGTCTTTACAATCTTGGTTTCATAACATACCATCTGGTATCACAGATATTATCTATAATAGATTAAATAACAGATGCCATCTGCTTCTTAAAAGTGTTTTCCCTGGTTAGAAAAAAACAGAGAGAAAGAAAAAATGGATGCACTTACAAATTCAGTTAAAAAAAGATGCTTGTACACTTATGCAGTAAGATTCTTCTAAAACTCTTATTTCACTGATCCATTTACTGACTTGTTTAATTGTCTACTCTTTTTTTAGGTTGGCATAGTACTACATTATTCTACACTCTCTACTATGCTATGGATTGGAGTAACTGCCAGGAATATTTATAAACAAGTCACAAAAAAACCTCAGCCATGCCAAAACAGTGACCAGCCTTCTTATCCAAAGCAACCACTACTCAGGTATGGAATATTACCTATACTTTTAATTTTTTTAATGTATTCCTAAAACATATAGATTTTATACAAACTGTCACTTTTATTTCTGTATTCTTTACTTTTTACAGACTATAAATAGGATTCATAAAGAACTGAGTCACATGCATATAAAAATCTGAATATTTATTGTATGATAATAGTTTACTCAGGAGGTGGAAACATGCAGAACTGGTATTGGCTGGCTTCAGATACCTTTATCTGAATAGGAACAATTCAAATGTTCCTGTTGGTTTCTTATGGAGAGAAAAAAAATTGCTTTCTTCGGGGTTAAGGCATTATTTAATCATCAGAAACTACGCTATAATGACTCTCCCTTTACCCTTATCTATTCTGCTGTAAATCTTGCCTACACTTGTATTGATTGCCCAGTAACCTGATAGTAATATTCATCATTCCACATCAGAGATCTAATGCTATTACAGAAGCGACTAGAAGTCTGGACTCCCTATCAGCTTTCTAGACGGAGCAAACTAACGTATCTCTGACAGCATGGCAGGTATAGTGCAGTAGGAATTTTAACCAGATGCCTATGCGATGCTGAAACTTCAAGCCAAAATAGTCAGTCTAAATAGGAAAAAAAACCAACAACAACACCCCTTCTCCAACTTAGTACAAACTAGGCAAACAAAACTTTCCAACCAAAGGCATGACAAGATGGATTCATCTTTTTTTACTTTAACTATTGAAAAGTTAGGTATTAGCCAAAGGTATCTAGTGTCCCTGTATAGATTTTCGACAGAGACTGAGACAGAGAGGAAGTTACAGAGAGCAATATCTCCCATCTGTCTTGGATACTTGTGTGAGGACAGGAAGAACTGTCTTATGGAGGTGCCTCTCTTTCCCCATAGATCATGGAAAATCCTGAATGGTCAATTTAGACTAAAGACCTCAGTTTTATAGTGAAGGACAGGAAATATGAATTCTACTTTTTATGGCTTTGCTGTGAAAAATCCAGATTAGTGTTTTCTATTAAACAGGCTCCAGATTAGTGTTTTCTATTAAACAGGCTTAGCTTATTTATTTTGAACACAAAAAGTTTATTAAGTAGCATTTATAGATGGCTGTGTGAGGTTGTCACAACTTATTAAAAATCTATAGGAAGAAGAGTTGTGTTTTGCTTTCTGACTCTGCTGAGTGAAATCTTTATTAACATGTTTAGTTTTCTGCTTTTTAAAGCATTGTCTATCTAGAGATGAAATTTAATAAAGTTAACATTTGATTTTTATAGTGAAGCGAAGAGCCATATTGAACATGAGCTTGCTTAGGTGTAAGCAAGAGGACATACTTTCACTGAGTGCCTGACTTTGCTAATCCATAATTTACCATTTTTCACAGATGAGAATTTCACTCTTTCAGTTACTAACTTATGGCCAAATGAATAATTGCAAATTTTCAAATGCTGCAGTGTGACTATTAAGGTAGAAAACTGTTATAGGTTGCATAGACCCAACATAGTCTATGTTCTTCAAATTCAAATCTTGTTTCAGTTGGAAAACGATAGACAATCAGGTTACTGAAAAGATTACTTTAATTAGAATCTTTATTGTACCAGTCATGTTGAGGTTCTCAGTGAAAATAAACAGCAGATATTTTAAGTTTAGTAATAGAAATGATAAACCTCCTTTTAGCTGTAAGACGACATGACTGTAATTGTTTAATAGCTAAGTAAAATGATTCTAAGTTATTTTTCTCACTCAGGGCACCTTATGTCCTAGAGACATAGGCACTAAAATGTCTAATATGATTTCATAATGGTTAGTACTAGATTCAAACTAGTAAGGATCAATTTCATTTCACGTAGAAAATGGACATAGTATATGGAAAATTAAAAATTGCTTTAAGCAAGAAAATGCTGAACTCATAATTAGTAATTGTTGTTCTTTTAGAATTATAATGGTAATTGTTATGGGCATTTTAACGTTCCTGGTTTTAATAAAATTAAAATCAGAATTATTCTTTATCATAATACTTCCATAAAATCCATTTAAGATGCTTATAGTTCAGTGTAGTCATTTATAAGAAATGTTTTAACTAGACAGTGTTCTTGTAGCTATAAGATGATGGCAGCCTTTATACATTGTGCCTCGGGTACCTAAGAGATGACATTGCAGTTTGTCCGGGCCTGGGTGAGGGACTGTTGATTTTTATCTCCACTTAACACCAGTGGATATCTGAATGTATAAGTTTGCTCAAATGGAGATTGAGTTAAGCTTTTTTATATGTCAGGGCCATCAGTGCTAGGAAGCAAGACACTTTTAAAGAGGTAAGTTTGTCAGTAATCCCTGTCTATAGACCTAGTTTGATTTGTGTTCAGGTTTTGTTGAACACAAATATACGAATGTGTTTGGCACAAAATGTACACTTTTCTGTTCTCCTTCAGTCTTTTCTGGTGATGGATGTATATGACAGACTGGGTTTCCAGTTCACATATGAGTGGGTTTTTATTCCTTGTATATGCATTTGCTATATGAGACAGAAGGATATATTTTGTGAGTCAGTAAGTAGGACTACTGCCAAAAATCAATCCATAAATCTATGACATGGATTTCACCAAGAAATCATAAAAAATACTCTCACCACATTTTTTTAAAGGGGCTTAATCCACTAAAAAATATCTGAAATAGTGAAAATAAATACCACAATTCTAAAAGGAGACCTAGCCTGTTAGTAGAAAAAGGTATTTGCTTGTAACAGTTGCTTCAGTTTCTCTTTCTGCTATTTGCATATTCATTTACAAAAGTAAGACAAGAGAGGTACACTTGATCTTTTCCTCCTAGTTTTCTTTGAGCTGTGGTGAGATGTATCCTATTAGTCGTGGTTCTCTATTAGTTTTCTCTGTTTCTAGATACAGTGATCAAACTTGAAATCTTTTTGCAGTGTAATTTTACTGAAATTTGTTCTTCATGTCAATACAATTTTGAATATTACCTCTTTTTATACATTAGTCATAGAATCATTAAGGTTGGAAAATACCTCTAAAATTATCAAGTCCAACCATTATATGTTATACAATACATTATATATGTCATAGATGATACACTATATATACTTTATTACATATATTATATTTTTTATATATATATAAGCTGTTAATTATAGAGTTAAAGCTCTTGAGACTTATCACTTTGGTGACTGGAACCAACTGTAACAATTCTGTTATTTTCCACTAAATCTGCCTGGATGTCAAAGAGGTGGATCAAATTAATGCATCATTGAATTTTGTGTATTGAAATGCTGAACTCTAGCACTTCAACAGATAATGAAATTGCTTCCTGTAAAATATACTCTCTGGTATTCTTAATAGAAATAAATAATTCTATCTGTTCATCCTCTGTGGACATTTTGTAAACCTGGCAGAATTTTGGCTTCTGACTCATCTGAAGTCAGATTTTGCCAGCAAAGACAAAAGGGCATGCAAGATTCAGCTGTTACTTGCAATATACAAAACTTGTCAGCCGAAGCTGAGGCACGGGTGCTATTAGTTTTTATACCTGAAATGTGCATGCATTTCTCATGTGATGCTGTGTGCACAAATAGTTTAGACAGGAGTACAGACCAAGCATAAAATATTCCTGAAATGTATTCTGTTAAAATTATTCCTTTCCAGAAAGAGAGAAAAAAATTAGACTACTATAATTTTTAATATAACTACTGAGCACAATTGCACTATAAACAATTAAAATAAAAAATAAATAAGCTACCAGCACGGCCAGAAATTAGTGTTAAGGAGAGAAATAATCAAGTTACCTTTTATCTCAGGGTTAGGTACAAACATGTCTCCTAATTTCCTCTATCCTCTTCTGTTCAATGAGCATCTTTCCAGGTAACTAACATGGCAGACTTCAGATTACAGAGTCCAATATACTATATTTGTCATGAAAAAACATCCAGTGTACACAAATAAGGTTGCAGAATCAACTGCAAAATGGATAACAGGTGATGTCACTGTGCCTGCTGAAATTCATCTTGTTTATTATGTAATGTATCTTGATAAGCTTTTTAAAAGGTTCTTACTGAAGTTGTGGGGCTTCTAGGAAGAGTACCTCATGCAGTGCCTTAGGACAATTGTGTATCTAGGTGTAGTAGCAATTTAGGAATGGATTGTGTGTCCTTCCCTTTGTATTCAAAGTACTAGGCTTAGTACTATGGCTATTAAAAATGAGCATAGATAATTTTGGGAAGATCATAACTCAGGCAAATTAAATTAGTTTTCAGCAGCACACTCAGAGCACCTACAGTCAATATGACTGCCTTCAATTCCATTCTGTTATTAAGTACTTTTAAATATTAAGAATATTTTTTAGAATGAAAAAAACTGTTTGCATATTTCATATATTTTGAAATATCTTAACTGGTTTTTAGAAATTGTCCTTTAACTTGCACAGACCTAGAAATAGTATATGAGAACTGAAGTTCAGTTGAACTGTAAAGTCTGCTAATGGGTGTGTATGTCCATATATATATATATATATGCATGTATGTGTGTATGTTTGCTATTCTGTATGAGTTTGTATATGGGCAATTATCTGTACATCATCCATACACTTACAGAGTGATGATTACTGAGTGATGTCTTGGAAGCAACAACAGCAGGGTCTTCCTTGTGGGCTATGTTTATGGCGTAGCAATGACTAACAATCTACACCCTGATCACATGCAAGATGTGATAGTGCTCCACTTGCATCCTCCCCCTCTCCTGAGAACGTGGCAGCAGCTCTTTGCAGTCATTCCCTGGCTCGTTATTTCTCTCAGCTACCTAAACATTAACCAGTAGTATACAGCTATATACTAGCTATCTTTGCGATATCACAGAATGACAGGGGTTGGAAGGGACTGCTGGAGATCATCTAGTCCAACCCCTCTGCTAAAGCAGGTTCACCTAGAGCAGGTTGTACAGGATCACATCCAGGGAGGTTTTGAATATCTCCAGAGCAGGAGACTCCACAACCTCTCTGGGCAGCCTG